ATGCTCAGGGCCCAACTGCACGGCCGAATTTGGAAAGGAAGGGTACTTCATTACATCAAAGGTGTTAACGTAGCTGGAGGAAACAACTTTGAGGTAAAACGACATTTCAAAAGCACCTAGTTACCGCCCACATTATCTGAAATAAGATAAACATTTCCAAACATACATTACAGTTATGTGCTCGCGTCGCAGTGCATTTATGAAGTCCACACAAGTCACCTCAGAAACATCCTTGGGGAAAAATGGGCGGAGCAGCGTGGTTGTCTTGATGCATTCAAGACAGAACCCACATTGAGAAACGGCCAAGTATGAACCGGCTAAACCTCTGTGTTGGACCGTTTATTGTGCGCTGACAATATTTCTGATCACAAAAATAATGAAATAGCAAATTTTTTGTTGCGCCGTTTTTAAAATACGTGGGGTTTACCTGACAGTCGTTATCTCACCAGGTGACTCCCTGGCCAATCAGCCGTCAGCCAAAGTCACAACTTTGTCCCTGTCTGGTGGGGCCTACCCCTATTGGAAAATGCAAAAATATGTGTAGTGGAAAAGCAAACAACTTCATGAAAATGAGCTCCAGTTTGGGCAATAGAATACACACTTTGCATGTTAGGTGCCGTCTTCATGTCGTTTGGGAGTTGTTTGAGGTCTGAGGCACTTTCTTTGGAGTCATCTTTCATTTTGTAGCCAGTCTGGACTTTCCGGTTCCTTGACTAATTTGGTATCTTTCAGAGTTGTAACTTACTGAATTAGCCTCTCACACACTGTCCTTGTCTTGGTTTTAATACAAATGTGAAAACGTAAGAGAGTAATGAAATCTTTTTTTGCCTTGGGTTGCTTTTTATTTCTTGGGTTGTTTGGGTTTTTTGTGTATATTGGTATACATGTTATTAAATCAAATGAATAATAACTATGATATGACGCAATCAGCTACACAGATTTGGACTTGGATTGCCATTAAACGAGTGGAAGTTGTACCCTTTGGGGTCATTCCTAGAGGCAGGCCTCCCTTATGACTGGTGTCACGTGAGCTCGTGTGCATCATCCACAGCAGTAGCATCTACGCTGAGCCTTTGTACTGAGCATTAGAATGAGAGAGCTGTGGTCTCTCAGGCTGTCCAAGAAATGCTCCATAAGCAGCGGCTGCTTTTCAGCAACGGAGTGGGCTGTTCAATTTTTCATGACCCGAGTCTTTATTGAGCAGAATCCGATCTCTTTCTGCCACGGCCAGTGCCACTCCGGCTTGTTTTGTTTCGGTGGAGCTGGGATGATTAGAGTTCTAAGTTAATGCCGTTGTGGTTCCTGTTTACTTCCCAGACAGAAGTGGCTTTGACACACAGAAGGCCTTGATCACTCGTAATAGGGAACACAAATGTACTCTTAAACGGCGCGTGTGTGCCACCAGTATTGAAAAAAGCGCCTCATTACTGCGTCTTTAGTGTTTGTTTTAACTATTCCTTTTGTGGTGACAAGTGGATCTCCCCTATCACGGCCACCTAAATCCTTGTGTCTGACCAGATGCAGTGCTTTTCTGTTTAATCCAGCCATGTGTGTCCAGTGTATTTTACAGATGAACAGAGAGCCGGTCTCGCTCTTCTGCTCTTAACCTCAAGTTTTTTTTTTTTCACGTAGTCACTAAGTAACTAAAGTGGCACATTAGGCTTATAAAAGAAGGCATTTTTTTTTTTTTTTTTTTTTTTTTTTTTACTCGAAGGTTCTTTGGACAGAAGCTCGTGTGAGGCACATGACATTATTTTAACTTAATGAGAGGAAATTACATGTCTCAAAGGCGCAGGAATTCCACCCCCTTTGAGCTTCCTGATCTTGATTTGTTGAATCTATCTTTCGCTTATTTTTGTATTAATTTTTTTCTTACTCTGTGGAAGGAAGAAACACTGTCATTTAGCCCTGGCAGAAGCAACGAAACTATTACACTAGTCAGTGTTTTCTTTTTCTTTTTTTTTTCTCCTGACAGCCTGCGGGCTAAATGACAATCTATCCAGGGAATGGAATTTTCTTTCATAGTTTTAGCTGAATGCAGGGTGGTGGAGGGGGAGGATATCACTGGAAACAACAAACTGGCCTCTGTTTGTGTTGGCTTGTAAATGTGACAAATGCAACTCAGGCCTGGGTGGTTTGGTACCACCCCTGCCTTGCTGAGATTTTGGAGGTTTGACTCCCACTGCTTTCGGGCTAACTCAGCCTGCCCTCACTGGCTGAGGAGTGTGAATCTTCTTATTAGAAAAGAAAATCCTAAATCTGGGGCAGCGAAAGGAGACGGGCATTAGCATGAAAGAGGAGTGGGAACAGTGGTCTGTATACAGCAGCAGTCCAGCTTTGTGTTCCAGAAACAGCTGACAGGAGAGTTGGTTAGCCACTGGAAATGGCTGCGGCTTCATGGGAAGCTGGAGTTGGTTAGGAAGGCAGATTTTCTTTTTCAGTGCCGAGACTCAGGAGCAAAGGAGCTCTACCTCCTGCAATCCGTCCATCAGAATCCCATAGACAGACTCATAGTCAATGTGGGGAGAAACCTTTTGTGGTAACCACTGTCTTTCTGAAAGATCTGACCATGTTACATTTTTCCTGTACGTTTTGTTCCAGTAAAATGATAAACATTAGATGAAACTGAGGAAGTGCTTGCATTATTTTGACTATAAACCCCACTGAAGATTGTCTTTTCTATCACTTAAAGGTCATACAACCAGGCAACATGTTATGTTATGACAACACACCCTTTGGCTCTAAAAGCTTTTACAAACCTAACAAACACACTGTTAAGAGTTAAAGGAAACAGAAGCTGTTGAAAATGTTTCTGTTTGGTTTGGCAGAGGGAGCTATGAAAGAATCGGCTAGTGTTGCAGCTCAGCATGATGGGTAAGACCACGGATTAGGACAATGTGAGCGGCATTTCTAATTGTTTAAGTAATGACATGAGTTGTCAGAGCTCTTGGAGGTAACTTAAGCCAGCACTGATGTGCATGTCTGTGGCGAATTAGATGCTACTAACATCAACTGTAGAATCCTAATAACTTGCAAGGTTATGTGGATTAGCTGTATTTGTGCAAAATAATAGGACGTCAGAGCCGTCCCTTGTGTTATTTGCATGCAGAGATGTGAATTATAGACCATAGAATCAGCCGTGCATTGCTCTAAAGTCTACATTTTGAGAGATTGTTTGGAAGTGCAGGTAAGGCTTTGTTAACTCTGAAGTTCTCTTATGGTAATTACACCAGCACGAGACAAAGCTGCTGTTAAGTGGTTAAAATCATCTCAAAGAAAGACTTTAAAAAGTGATTTCAGATCACTTTTCTTCACTCCCCTTTTCAGTATTCACAGTGAGTATGACTCATTGTTTTTGGATGGATGTTTTAATTTAGGAGAAGGCATGTTTGAGTAAAGATGCCAGTTGCATATCAAAATGATGTTTTAATTGCTCTTTTATCATAGTTGTTCAGCTGTATTATTTATTGCCTCAGTGGTAACAGAACCTCATTAGTAATGGTAATGCGTAACCTGCTGTTCATGCAACTGAGCATCAGCCTTCTTTTTCAAAAGACGATGGAGATAAATGTTCATTGGAAGCAGCTCTTTGTCCACCTTGCCTTTCCCACTGCAGAGCAAAGCAAAAGTAACAACAGCAGCACAAACACAACCAAGTGCAGCTCCGACTGCTCTACATGTGTGTTATCCTGCTGCCATGACGCAGCGAAGGGCTGTGATGCTGTTTGCAAAATGTTCCCCTGAAACTGACTTAAAGCAACTTTTTAGTGTTTTTCTCCCAAAGCTCAGTCCTCCGCATGCTCCACTATAGTTTTCTCAAACTGTTTGCTGCTCTTTATTTCCCATGTTGCTCTGAGGTTTGTTCACATGCTGTGCAGTCTGTTTGGAGAAGCTCCAAGTGTTTGCACAAAGGCAGAGGGTCATTTTACCAGCCAGTGTACCAGTTAGCCCTACCGGCTACAATCTAAAGGACTTCGCTAGGGTCTTAGCCTGTTTAGTTTGAACAGCCATACCCTGGGTGGAGCTCGTCAGGGTTTACAACAGTTTTTGTAAATGAAGTGCCTTCATCATGAGTGTGCAACAGAGGAATTTGGTAGAAAGTGATTACTTCCTTTTCATTGCTTCCCTGCTAACAGTTGGAGGAATTTGTAGCCTGGATAGCAACATGTGCGCTCTTTGCTCATTTATTGAGAATAGCCATGAACTACCTCCAGATGTATTTGCGTGTTTACATGTCTTGAAGTGTACAAAATGAAAATGAAAGACTAACAAAACTCATAAGCTTTTAGAATTGAATGTGCTTTGAAAAGCTTGTTCAGTCAATAATTCATTTTTGGGAAATGAGAGCTGAACTAGGAGTCTTTTGGGAATTTTCAGGATAAGCTGTTAAACTACTTGTTCTCACTTATGTGTGTTTTTGCTGCACATTATGCAGCTTCGTTTGTTCTGTCAGTCAGAGGGGAAAAGTGTTATTGCTCTACTGAAGGAGGGAAAAATAGTTTATTTGTGCTTTTAATCATTTGAAGCATAACCAATGTTTTTCTGTATGTAAACCTCGAGTTCAAAACTGATCTCAGCATTTGCAGAAGCGTGGCCTACTTGTGATTTTTCTTTCTAAATATACCAGCCTTAAGATGAGGCTTTAGTCCTGGTCCAACACCCTCATAAATTTATCCCCACGCTTCAAAAACCACAAACATGATCTGACCCGTGAACACAGTTTGTTATGTTTTTTTTCTCCTAAGTCCCCTCTGCTCATTCCAAATCTGTTCTTGTCGTGGGCGAAAGGTTTGATAAACATCAAATGATGACACAAGATGGTGCTATGTGTTTCAGATAGCTCCTTCTTTGCAGCCATCAAAGCTGCAGCAAAGTGGCCTTTTTGTTTGCTTCCTCTGAGGCTTGTTTTCCAATACCCAGAGCAGATGGTATGTGTTTTCCATGGATGAATCACTGTGCTGGGTGGGTTTTTCATTGCTGCCCAAGACTGTTATTTTTCTATGCTTGTGTCCCCCGGTCTTGGCTGTGAGTGTACACCTACATATTTATCAAAAACCCTTGAACCTGGTTTTCCTTCATGTTATTTTCCTCAGACTCTCGAGGAGCCCCCCTACCTGACGGTGGGGACGGATGTGAGTGCCAAGTACAGGGGGGCTTTCTGTGAAGCCAAGATTAAGACAGCCAAGAGGCTTGTTAAGGCCAAGGTAAGTCATGTTTCTAAAATCTCATGAGCCAAAATTAAACATTAATCGTCTGTCTGTGTTGTGTGTGTGTGTGTGTGTGTGTGTGTGTGTGTGAAAAGTAGATTGCAGCAAGCCTGTGGGCTTGTGTGTTTGTGTGGAGGGGCGGCAGAAAAGATCACACAGCTCAGCTTTATTGCATTTTCAAAGCCGTCAGCATCGAGATGGCCACATTTACAAGATGTCGTCCAGAACGTTCCTCAAGAGATCAGGTGGTTGAGATGATTAGGTATCAGACTCAAGGGGGGATTAGATGAGCGTTTTAATTGTCTTTCTGTGTCTGATGCTGCGAAAAATCCAGCTGTGCCGCATGCACACTGAAGCTGTGGCAGCTGCGTTAAGTTGTTAGTGCTGCTCATACAGCTGACAGTGATCAGGTGATGGTCCAGCCAATCTGCTACCATACCCGTACCTGTGGCTTCCAGGTTCTGTGGGGTAACTGCGACTACTACTCCCCCACCGGCTTTACGCCTAACTGATGAATGCAAAGCATGTCACACGTAGTACAGCATCTCATTTACCAGTGCTGCTGGAACATCTGGGTAATGCAATAGAGAGATCTCTTGTCTCCTGCTCTGCCAGTGTGGGAGGAACAAATGCTGGATGCTGGCTTTTTCAACATGCTGATGCGCTGTAGTTCCCCTTGTGAAAACAAAAGAGCTGTGATGTTCTGCTTTTTTTCCCCGTTTGTTGTTTGTCTCGTGGACTGAGACAAACGGCGTGACAAAGCAGATCATCCCCTCAGTTGCAATGCAAGCTAGAATGACACTAATATTGCAGTCTGGGCTCCAAAGGTAATCGCCATGCTAATTGGCAGTTTTTCTTTTGGGGTGGCTGTAATGTGCCAGTGAGCTCTGTCCCACAAATATTGAGACGCGGCTAATAATGCGGATGTTGTATGTGGGAATATGCCACTTTAATGGCGTCCTCTTTGAGCGCTTTGGTTCATTAATCCCTGTCTGCTTGTTTAGCACAGTCAGTGGTGGCAGCGTGCAACCATGGCGTCTTTTGAGTGATTTGTAAAGCAGACTGACAGATGTGTGGGACATCCTGCTTCATGATGATGAGCTCAGTAGACTCGCTGTGATTGGTGCAGAGCACTAAGACAATCCATGTGCTCTGTGACTGCTAGGAACCTGAAGCACAGGTCTGTATCAGATCTACACGTTTCTGGGCTCTTGTTTCTATCCGAAATATTTGCCATCATGTTAAAATGGTGAGTCAGGAGGCAGGCAGGTGTTATGGATACTGTCTTGGGGAAGATACTGGACAGCAGGGGTCATCCTGCCTCTGCCCGTGAAGAGCACAGCATCCCTGTGAAGAAAGAAATTCCCTTTTCACTGGGCAAGAATGTTATTATTTCAGTAACTGATAAAATGCTGCCGCAGTAAGCTTTTTTTAACTCCTTTCTCTTCTCTCCTTTTTTATGACCTGACCATTCAATAACAGCTCACAGTACATATTCCTCTCATTTTGCTTTGAATCTGCCTTCACGGTGCGACTTTGATTGCTGTTTCAGCTGTTGTTGCATTTGAATGCGGCTCCATCTCATTGTTGGAGTGGGTTACCTGCAGGGTTGTTGTCTGACGGATGCTACTTAATGTTCTGTTCTGCCTTTGTTTTATTTTGTCTTTTGTGGTGGTCATTTCTAGACCGAATCAGAAGAGGATGAAATTGAATTCAGTCAGCCACAATAATTATGTTTCTATTTCACGTGAACACACTCTCAAACATGACTTTTGATGTCCTCCAGGAAGGGGAAAGGGAGGGGGGCGTAGCACATGAGCATTTTGTTAAATAAAGAATCAGTGAATGAACCCTGCGCTTTTTAAACACATGCTCACTGGAAAGTCTGTGACAGTAAATGGCTCCAAATGTGTGCGCCTGCCTTGTGGTCTTTGCTGTCGCACAGTCATGCCAGATTGCCGTGCAGACGCAAGATTAGCCCCAGCGTGATCAGATTATTATCCAACGCGGGTCACTTAGGTGAGGACGCAAGGGTGGGGGCGGCGGTCACTTAGTGTGGCGCGTGCATTCGCAGCAGATATCAGAAATCCACAACAGTTGGCGCCAGCAGATGCAGCGCGGTTGTCTTCTGGTGAGATGGGAGGGGGGGGGTCACTAAACACAGCCATGACTCATATTGTTAAGTATTCAGCCACATGTTGCCTGTAAAATGACACCACAAATTATGCTCACATTTCTTGTATCCGAGCTGTTGAGTTTACGGTGAAATCACTTTGAAGCGAGCTGCTGCGTTGGTGAATGGCATGATTGACAGGTCTTTATGTTATTCTTCCCATAACTGATTGTCTTTTGTTGTTGGCTCCCACCCTCCCAGGTGACCTTTAAATCAGATCTCTCCACGATCGAGGTCCATGACGAGAACATTAAAGGACCTCTGAAGGTGAGATGGGAATGAAGGAGCAGGCCAACTTCCTGTTTATCCCCAGTTTTAAATCAAATTCAAATGTATTTGTTCTTCTGAAGAGAATGTCAGAAAAAGCACAAACCCATTGGGCACTGGAGCATTGGCTTTGTGATTTCATTTCAGGCCGTTTGGATTCTCGAGATGGCAGAATAGCAAAACATGGCTCAGTGGAGCAGGTTAACAGCAGTGTTTGTGACCCACAGGTCGGTGCAGTTGTAGAGGTGAAGAATCAGGACGGAGTTTTCCAGGAGGCCACCATCAATAAGCTGACCGATGCCAGTATATATACAGTTGGTAAGTCTCTGCCTGCCGCACCCCCAAGCTCTCTTTCCAGCTGCTGGAAAGGGGAACTTCGGGGCTCAGGTTCTAGAAAGTGGCTCATCTTTTCATTTTAATGATCATCTGGGGCAGCTGAAATCAAGGTCTGTAAAGACCCTCGCAAAAGTTAGCGCCACAGTGTGTATCTCCGTGTGTGTGTGTGTGTGTGTGTGTGTGTGCGTGCGTGTATTGTTGGAGGCCTGGCCTACATACACCAGACGGATGGTTTTGCCTCTTGTTTGCAGTGTTTGACGATGGCGATGAGAAGACCCTTCGGCGTTCCTCTCTCTGCCTGAAAGGAGCACGTCACTTTGCAGAAAGCGAAGTGAGTACAAGTTTTAAGAACTCCCTTATTTCTCTACGCTAAAGTTAGCAAATCTAAAAGAAGCTTTTACAGTCTTTGTTTGTTGAGTGAGTCTTTTTGAAACAGGTGATTAAAAATTAAGTCATGTTGGAGTGAGTATTCTCCCTCCCCTGGCTGAAATCTGCTGCTGAGTCTCTTCTTTCTATTGTCTCCTCTGCAGACACTCGACAGACTCCCTCTCACCAACCCTGAGCACTTTGGCACACCTGTCATTGGCAAGAAGGGCAACCGCGGCCGACGATCAAACCCTATGTGAGCATAATTCTCCACGTCTCTCCACTCTGCTGGGTTCTCTGTTCCGATCTAATTCATCTGAGGTCGGGAGGTTTTTCCTCTTCTGTCGTTAGTACTGTCTTTAGTAACAAGCACACCCACTTTAACTATGCTGACAGCATTTGAAATGACAGATTTACTCTTTCCTCAATCCCTTTTTACTGAGCCCCTGAGGCCTTGAAGAAGAGACTACTCACCTCCTCCTGCTCCTTAATCATGCCCAGCTCCTGTGTGTGTGTGTATACATGCTGTAGAGGCTGTGTGAGCAGGCCCTGGTCCCGTTCAGCGTTATCGCTTCCCTTTTTCAACTCAGATGTTCCTGTGGATGTTTTTACGCTCTGATGTACCTACTCCTTGGAGACAGTGCACTTTTCATCAGGGAATAGAAACTATTGAAGGGTTTATTTGGCTCTGGGTATAATTGTCTATCCTCTCCACTTTAAAGAGGACACTTGGCGACATAATCCTATTCTCTTGACTCGTCTTTCTAATTGCATCCAGAGAAAAGTCAATATTGCTCTGAACATTGATGCAATATTGACTTAAAAACGCTTCCTGCTGCACATTAGCACATTGGACCTGTTGTGTCGGCATGTGCTAATGTCTTATACACAGTTACAATTGCTCTATATTAACCTTTTTTGATCGTCTTGGTTAAAGAAATATTTTGACTTTTGGGGAAATGGGAAACAGAAGGAAAGGCAATCCTATTTCAGCCAGATGGGATGGTAATATTCTTTGTTTGTTTTATTGAGAGTTTGGCAGACAACAGGCAGAAACGGCGAGAGGTTGCTGCCTCGGGCCCAGATGCAGCTCAGTCAATTAAAGCCCTTTAAACAGCCCCATACATTTCTCCTTTTCAGTTTTGTGCACATCATAAAGAAGCGACATGCAGTTTAAAGTGTCCCATTAGTGAGCTTCAGAGGATGGTTTCCAGCCTCCATGCTAACCTAAGCTGTCCCAGCTACTTACAGAACAAGTGCAGACATCACCACTTGATGCACGGAAGCAAATAAGCATATTACCCACAATGCCGAAGTGTGACTTTAATGCCCCAGCAGTCGTTTAGAACATCAGTGTTTCCTGAAACAAATGGCAGTCGGTGCTTCGGCGTGGAGTTAAAGTGCCGTGTTTATGACTTTGACTCACAGCTTAGTCGTCGCTGTCATTGCTGTTGTAATAGTAGTACGCTGACTGATTTACTGCACTCCCCTCTCGCCTTGCACTGCGCGTGTACATGTACACAGAGCTGCCCCCAGTTAGGCAGAAAAAGAGGACAGAGGATGTGTTTGCTGATGATCACTCACAGACGCAGTTGTCTGTGTGCCGGCCACCAGGACGACTGTCAATACACTCATCCCAGAGAGCAGGCCAATCGGCAGAGACTGGTTTTTCTCTGTGCAGCACAACGATAAGGCTACAAAGGCCTCCGATGGGTCGAGCTTTTGTTTGTTAGCAGGAGACTGCTGATGTTTTGTAGCCGAAGAAATGAGAAATCACCCGCCTGCCTTTTATGGAGAGAGATTTCTCTCTAATCTGTTCATGCTGTGTATGAAATGCCGTTCACCTTTTTTTTCTTTTTTGTTATGAAGCTGTTTTTCTTGTGTGTGCATAAGGGAAGATAAGTTGATAGCATTCCCTCAGTCAAAGGCCAACATTCTCTCTAAGAATGGTGTTATTATGTTGAGGCAGCTGCCTTGTTGTTTGGAGGATGTGGAAGCTGCTACAGTTCTGCACTGAGTAGGGCTGATGCTCCCTCCCAGATGTGACCAGAGGTGTTTATGAACAGCCACATGCTGACTGTTGTTCACCTTTTCTATTTATTTACGATTTTTTTTATCTCCCACAGTCAAGAAGAGGAGTTGTCTTCGTCCTCCAGCGAGGAGGAGGAGAGTGATCAGCGGCAGAATGAGGACCTGTTTGGCAAGGTGGTCTGCGTGGAAGGGGTTGCCACCGGCGACAAAAAGAAGACGACGTGGTACCCTGCTCTGGTGAGGCCTATGTAACCTCAACATTTAGCAGGATTATGTTATTGGTTTAGACTTCACCCACCACGAAACGTTGCAGTATGCAAACATTTTTTATTCCTTTTTAACAGCAAAGTTTAGTAACCAGCTTAAGATTTTTATCTAGGAAGAAACATATATTTTGTATTATTATTTATTTGTTTCTGCTCTTTATTTGACATCAGCGCAGTGTTTACACTCTTTTAACCTCCCTTAACTCTGTTAGTGTTGGGACATAGTGACAGGATGACAGGCCTCGTTTGTTTGTGTAATGGTTACAAGGGGAACCATTAGAATGGCAGAGGGAGGGGAAATCTCTCTCTGCAGAGCTCCGCCTCCCAAAACTGCTGTTCTTGGCTTGCTGTTGGCTGAACTCCATGCTGCCTCCCTGCGACAGTCCAGAGCAGGAAATAACACAGTAGGCTGTAAGGGTTTTAGTGCTGTTACTGTATGCCATAGGGGTGGAGTAAGTCTCTGGTAGGAGTCTCTCACAACAGATGATGCACAGTAACGTGCTTCTGAGATTCCCCGAGTTAGAGCCGGGGCTGCCTGAGTGAGCTGGCTGTTTACAGTCGCCGTGCCACGTATGAGTCATTGTGTAGAAGTTAAGGCACCCACCCTTCAAGCGTGTGTGTTTCTGTGTGTACTCTTGATAAAGAGAGTGCATTGATGGAAATCAGATCTCTGTAATGGTGAGACTGCCACCTCTGGGTCGCACCCCGGCAGTGGAGCAGCAAACGGCTCGCTGCCGTTGGGCCTGTACTCCTCCCACAGGATCCTTCCTTTGCTTTGCTTGGTGGTTATTTTTTGTTTGTTTCATTAGATGCCGTGTCAAAATCGATTGTCTCCTATTCTCGGTACCCCACTGACCTTCTTCCCTTCAGTGCCTCCCTGTCACGAACACTTTGCACTGCTACCACTGACCTTTTGGCTTTCTTTTTGTCTCCCTTTAACAAGGTCATCTCCCCAGACTGCCATGAAGATATGACCGTGAAGAAGGACAACATCTTCGTCCGCTCTTTCAAGGATGGAAAATTGTAAGTTATGTATAAATTGCTGGAATTTTTGATGATTAAAGATTGCTTTCCACCCTTTTGGGATGTGATAATGCAAAGGGATGAAAGTAAGGTAACTGAAGGCTCTGTGTCAACGTTTCTTTTTATTCATGTATAGTGGCTCTCTTTTATAACAGATTAAACATTTAATGCATGTTTTTGAGTATTTTTAATTGATTGCAGGATTCTTGAGGGCCTCCCAGCAAAACACTGCACTTTATAGAATTGCTAGCTTGTGTTGTTTTAGTTGTCCTAAGGCTAGAAGTTGCCTAGAAGTGAGGTAAGACGGTGTAACTGCCCTGCAGCCAGCCCTGGGCTTGAGTCCATACAGCGTCATTGTTGTGACTGTAGCGGTAGAGAAGCGGGTTGTGTTATGTGTTATGAGTCTGCACTCAGCTGGATATTTGTCGCTTTAGTCTGTGAGTCTGAGTACAAACACAAATCCTCCTCATATGAACCTCCTTGTTTGAATAACGCTGTGAACGGAAAAGCCTTATGTTCTTTAATAGATATCCTGTGAAAATCACCAGCCTTAAACCCACTCAACTGCAGCATATTTGCAACGTAGGAAATTGTATCACTACCACGCTTTGGCCAACAGTCAGGTGAAGGGTTGGGCCGATGAGAGCGATACGATAAGAATGATGAATTGAAAAAGTAGACTTGTTGAGTTTCCCCTCTGCTCAGAGAACCACAAATGAAATCCTTATGGAGAATGCTTGCTGCTCTGTAACAGTTGGCCTTAAGTCAGGGTTGGCTATTAGGAGGGAATCTGAAAAGGAAGAAAAGAAAATGTATACAACTGTTAATGAGATTTCCCTTCAGTCATCCTGCCTTTGTTTGGGTGGAATTTGTATATTATTCATACATACACTCGTGATTGGAGGTGTCTCTGGCACAGCACCGAACTTTTATAGAACTATCTACACTTAATTCCAGCAGATGCATCATCATTTTGCTGAAACTACCCTTGGCATCCCTCCTCTTGGCTGTTACTGTGGAGGTGCTTCCTGTGTTATTTGTTATTTGAAACTGCCCTACATCCATAAGTCATGTGACCTCTGCTGCACAACATCATTGTCAGTTTGTCCACCTCCTCTGGAGAGTCTGGTGTTCCTATTGATAACCGATGAGTGTGCCTTTCACCGGCAAGGCTGTGGACGTGGGAGTTTTTAGGAAACGGCTATCCATATTTAGATGCAATTGCCATGGCAACGGCTGAAACAGAAACCGTTTCTATTATACTCCTGTTTTGGCCAGCCTGCAAAACAGAAAACATTCTCATCACAGGGCACCAGACTGACTTTTTGCACAGTGGCACAGGAGGATGCAGCTTTCTCATTTCACTTCAGGTGCTACAAAAACTACACACGTTCAGGGGATGATTTGGGACTTGAATTTAGTCGATCGCATCTCCTCTTTGACAGCGTCATAAACTCAGTTCTACTGTCATCTGAGTCGTTACTGCTCTGGTTTCCTTCTGCCAGAAGCTGAAAAAGGAGAGGCTGGAGACTCTGTTTATAAAAATAAAAAAACTGTCACAACAGACCATTCGTTTCTTGGATATCTTGTTTTATTTTTTAATGTTTTACATCTTAATGTTGAAGCACAGACAACAAGAGCACTGTTCCCTACCAAGCTATGGCTGAAGTCTTTGCCATGCAACACATTGGACACTTTTTCATTTCAAGCCACAAAGCTCAACTACAACCAAGCTTTCCATATTTTTGTTTTAAAGTAGCCTTTTCATTTTCCTTTGGCTCTCCCTCCGAGTTCCATGCTGCCTCAAAGCCTCAGCCAGAGAAGCTTTTTGCTGTCTTACCAGAGAGGGGGAAAGACATTTCCTCTGACGCTGTTGGATAATTCTCTTAATCTCTGGTTACCGCCCGCTTGCATTTGTTTCCATATAACCAGTTTTTAGCACGTGTCACCCCTGAAGATTCTGGAGATTTCTAGCTGAGATTCTTGCTGAATTATAGGGAGAGACTTGCCACTCTTCTACCTCTACACAACAGGCACAGACTTAAACCATTTAGTTAAGAAACTTGAAGACTGGTCTAAGTATTACATGAGCTTATATTTGTAAAGGCAGTGATGTAAAACACTCTGAGCTTTAATGGCCGAAAATCTGAGAGGATAAAGAATAAGAATTTGTTCTACTAGACAGCCACTTTGTTCCAGACTGGAATATCTCAATCTCTCTCTCTCCCTCTCTTTAACAGCATGGATAGCCATGACATTTTGCACACACTTTGATGGTCCCTGGAGGATGACTCTTACTGTCTTATGATCTATTGATTTTTGTTTTCATCAACCAACAGTATGAAGTTGACATTTGTTTGTGGGGGGGGGTGTTGGATGTGTAGTTGGCTTTCTCGTAAAGTGTGCTTCTAAACAAAACAAAAGTAAAAGTATGTTTTAGATTTCAGCTTTGCGTGATGAGTAGCCTTAATTGAATTCTTGTGGGTGTTCTCAGTTCCTTATATTTGGTGAGACTGAAATCCCGCCGCTGATGTTGCAGAGTTATTTTTCTGGCTGCAGAGGATCAGATCAGCTTACTCTGCAGATCCTCTGACGTTTCCTCACAGCATCATTAAAGGTCAAAATGTCTCTTTTACAGTGAGTCGTGGCTCTGATCAAACATGTGTGACACACTGGATGCAGATTGATGTATGTTTGTAGTGGTAAATCGCTGTCACCTTTGAGAGAGCAGTTTAGCTTGTTGGCTATAGCATTTATCCAGAGCTGTGATTATGACAATGTCACACTCTTTGTTTTTTTGTTTTTACAGACTTAATTATCATGAATATTATTTTTTTTCTTTGTGAGGAGATAGGTTTGTGTGCTGCTTGAGAATGTCACCCCAGAATAAATCCATCCACTGAATCGACCCAGCCGTTTACAGATACAGCTGTAAGGGGTCTCTGTTGTGCATCAGCCAGGCCTGTGACTGCTTTGAGCTTACAAGCTCCACTGATCCATCCATCTGCCGTGATGCTGTAAAGTGGGAAGTCTCTGAATGCAGTCCTGACTGTTTAGCATTTGAGGCTTAAATCTTTGCTAGTTATGACTTATGGCTTCACAGGTTTTGGCGAGCATCCTTATTTTTTGTTTTGCATCATTTCCAGTCTCTTCCCATAGCTAAATGTTGTGTTTCTTTATTGCACCCCATGGTGTGTTTTGCAGCTACATGGTGCTCCGGAAAGACATCCGTGAGATGAACAGCGACTGCCCTCCAAAAGCCGACGCAGGACTCAGAGCAGGTGAGTTAGCTGTGGCCTTTTAAGGGATCTCAGTCCCAGAATTGCGGGGTCTGATCTGTGGGTTGTCACGCTTTACAGAAAACACTCAAAATAGTCAGTGGTGTTGAGGCAGAATGCAGGAAAAAAATAATTTATTCATTTATTTTTCTGGTTTTGCTCTGTGAAGGACAGCAATGAAGAGCTCCCGTCGCTGTTGAGTCTATTTTTATTTGAAGTCCTCACCAGGCTTTTTATGTAGTGCCCCCGTTTTTCTGCCGCAGAGCTTGTTCTCTCTCAGAATCAGTCAGGAAGCAGCTGTGCATCATCTCTGTATTCACAGGTGGCAGACTCACTATGCCTGGATTTATTCGGCATAACTGAAACGTAAAGCAAGCATCTGCTAACGTTTGGATGCTGCCGTGACTCACCTGTAACATTCCTGACCAAAGCCTCTGCGGCTCTAGAATGGTTCTCATTTGCCCAAAACTGTACCAGATTTTACACGGCCCTGGATGTCGTTGTACCCTGATACCGATTACAAGGGGATGCTCTAGTTTATTTGATCTCTCTTGGGTAGCTTTTTTAACAGTCTTGAAGACCAGTTTATGGAGTGAGTAATAGTCAGTCCTCATCGGGTGTGTCAGTGTGAAATGACGCGTTTTTATGTGTGTGTGTGTGCGTTTGACAGCCCTGGACGCAGCCTTGGACTTCCAGCAGAAGCTGGTGGTTCCCAGCAATTGGAAGACAGAAGTGAAAGAGGAAAGTTCCAGCAGCGAAGAGGATGATGACGATGAGGAGGAGGAGCAGGAGGCAGACAACAGCAGGGAAGAGGAGGACGTAAGGGCGGAACAGTACACATTCTCCCTTGCCTTCCCCCTCTCCAAATCCTCCGCGTAAGAATGATTCTTGACTAATGTCTTGTTTCCTGTCCGCAGGAGGAGGTGGAGCCGTTCCCAGAGGAGAGGGAGAACTTTCTGCAGCAGCTCTACAAGTTCATGGAGGACAGAGGTGAGTCAGTGTTTAAAGTTATGTGCAAAATACAAAACTTTTTTCTTTTTTTTTTTTTTCTATACGATTTTTTAATGTGTCTCCTCACCAGGAACTCCCATCAACAAGCGGCCTGTTCTGGGCTACAGGAACCTGAACCTGTTCAAACTCTACCGACTGGTACACAAACTGGGAGGCTTTGACAACGTGAGTTCTCCTTTGATTGCCTTAAATTATTTTAGTCGCACTTGACACTGACCTCTGTCCATTTTCGAGCAGATTGAAAGCGGCTCGGTGTGGAAGCAAGTCTACCAGGACCTGGGCATCCCTGTCCTTAACTCTGCAGCTGGCTACAATGTCAAATGTGCTTACCGCAAGTAAGTAAAAGCATTTCAGTGTGCGGTGGTGCTGTTTGGGATCTTATTCATCTTTTTTGTTTCCATTATGTTATTAGTCTTAAGCAATCTTCTGCAATTTATCTCCTCTTATGAGCAGTTAAAAGGGAGATTTGATTGATTATGTTGACGAAGAATGCCTCATCATGCAGGTATTTGTATGGATTCGAGGACTACTGCACCTCCACTGCCATCACATTCAGAATGGACCTGCCTTTGAAGCAGGGTCCAAAGGGAGAGGTGAAGTCTGAGGAGGCGCCAGGAGTAGCAGTTGTCACATCATCCAGCTCGGAGGAGCAGAAAACTCAGGTGGATGGGGATCGCTGTGCACCCTCGACAGTCTGTGAGGTGTGTTATCTTATTTTTTTCCGCCTATGTATCTTATCAAAGTAAGCTGCTCTCTTTTCATCGAATACATATTAAAAGCGTCATTCCCCCACAGGAAGAGAAACCTGACTATACGCAAAACAAGACGGAGGTGGAGCCCTCAAAAACTGAAGGGAAAGACAGCGAAAACGATGGTGAAGACGGCATTCTGAAGGGAGACGCGGACGAGGGCTCGTCGACGTCTCGTCTCGGAGGCGACGGCCTGAAGCAGGAGCACGACGACGGGCAGGAGAGCAAAGACAACTCCGGGTAGGTGGTCCCTCCTTCTCATGGCACAAACACAAGCCTCCGGCGAAGTCAAACTTTTTTATTTTTTATTTATTCATTTTTGGGTTTTTGGTTTTTGCAGCCAATCAATCTTAATGAAATCAAGAATTTTTCATGGCAAATGGGCCTGAAGCATTCACTTTTTTTCGTGTAAGCTGCAAGACTATAAGCAGATGAGGATCCTTGTGACCTCAATGATGCTAATACCCACAATCCACCTACACCTGCTAACCAGGGAGAGGAGAGCTCTCCTCTCTCTTCTCAGATTAGGCTCTTGCCCGCTGCCTTCTTCGCTGTTATTATTTCTCATGGCTTGGTTGGCATCAGCTGGCAGAGACATCTTAGAGCACCAAAGCCTGACTGCAACCTTCCACCTGGCCTGTCACGCCGTGTGCTCTCTGTGTCTCTCTGTTTGGGATTGTCCTGCCGTGGCGTGCACACAACATGGCTGTGCTCCTCTCAATTTCCGCCCTCTACAGACCTCCGTCTCTCTCTTTCTCTCTGCACACTCTTCCTGTCTGTCTTCTCTCTTTTTTTCTTTTCTTTTTGCTTTTGATGTTCAGCTTTATTAAATGTTCCATGTGTGTGAATGTTGTCACTGAGGCATTAACCCTTTGGCTGTAAGATAGTGCTTTAGATGCAGGAACCTCCCAGAAGGAAGAGTAGCTTTATAGAGTAGGTAATGGGTAGTTGTGGGCAGTTTGTGTATGGTTTGTCCTTGTAGGTTAATTTTCTCTTTTGTTTGCTGTCTGCAGTGCCTGGTTCAGATTGTGTGATTGGTTTAAATCAATACTTGTTCAGCTTGCAGATTGATGGTTGTGTTAAATTGGTTTTGGCTGTTCTGGACAGATAAGAAGACTTCTCTAGATGCTTTTTTTAGTGGCACATGATTGGTTACTTCCCATCTTTCATAAGTTTCAGGCTCAAGTTGTTGCTCTCAGCATCACTTCATAGCTTTTCTCACCTGGGACCTCTGGCACACCACCTACGATCAAGCTTGTTCCTATCTTTGTGGACTTTTTTTTTTTCTTTCTTTTTACAATCAGAAGACTCCCAGATTTTTGGGAGTTGATAGATTCAATCCAACCACATCCACCTGATCTGAGCTTTCCAGTTGCATGTTTACAGATTTTTCATGTGAGAATCAAAGCTTTTCATTTCAGTGGCAGAAATGGCAAATGGTCCTTGTGAAATGCACTTTGCTTTTGATCAGAGGGGGAAATGTATATAATTTCATGATTGAAATAATTATACAGTGCTAAGCACTGCTCTACGGGGATTAAGTCATGGCCATCTACTCTGATGAAGCCTAAACAGCAGCTGCACTTGAGTCTTCACTCAACCTCCCTCACCCCCCTCTCTTCTTTATATGTAAAAACAAAAAGCTAATTTCTACATTTAGGGACATTGTTTGGCATTTATTCCTAAAACAGAGCAGTTAAGAAAAACAGTTGATCCATTCTCTTGTCCACTTGTGTCATCAGAGGTTTCCCAGACCAGTGAAATATGCTATGTGCAGTTTCTAAAACTCTTCAAGTTGTGCTGCTTTTCGGGTCTCCACTTTGCCATGTTTAAGTTGTAGGAGGTCGGCCGTGCTGTGGGCAGCGAGCTGTGCGAGGGGCTGCGTGGACTTCTGTGCTGTAGGTCTTCTTTGTGGCAGCAGACCAAACTCTTAGCTCTGTGGACCAGCTTTAAGTTGATGCGCTGCCTGCAAAGTTGCGCTTTGCCATGCTTATCCCCCCTCCCCCTGCCTCTGTGGTCCCTTCCCTAAAACACTGACCGCTCCCCCCAGAATTACCCTCCAGCTTCGACATCTCAGCGTTTTCCCCACTAGCTCCTTCCTGTGGCTGCTTTGTTTCTCACAGTGTGTGTGTGTGAATGAGAATCCCAAGTCTTCCATTTGTGGATACAGGGTTAGATAGACTAACAGTAGTGCCACTCCCCTTGATCTTTGAGTTTTGCCATGAAAAGGATGATGTTTTCTCCTCTGAAACACTTGATGTACTGTTTTCTGACTGGCCTACTATTAACGATGCAGTTGTTTATCCTGCAGTGTGCCGCAGGTTACCCTGGATTAGCACCAGAATGGGGAGTTAGTTTCTTTTAGATAGGTTAGTGTGGGGTTAGGGTGTAGTGTTGTAATGGGACAGGGCAGACAGGGGTGGAGCATATTTAAACGGAAACCAGGCTTCTTCTGCAGCAGGCAGCGAGTTGGGTGGATGGGTGTGGGGGCGGGGCTTTGTGGCTTTGTAGCCTAGGGCCAGGAAGTGCTGAACTGTTTTTCTTGCAGGGATGACAGCAGTCAGGAGGGGGAGGAAGGGGAGGAGTTTGAGTGTTACCCCCCGGGGATGAAGGTGCAGGTGAGGTATGGGCGAGGCCGCAATCTGAAGACGTACGAGGCCACTGTGAAAGAGGCAGACGTGGAGGGGGGAGAGGTGCTCTACCTGGTGCACTACTGTGGCTGGAACGTCAGGTAAGACAGGACCTGGGGAGAAATCACCTAACGCCTATATTCACACTAAAAATAATCCAAAAAGCAAATCAAACAAATTTTCTGAACTTGAAATTGAGCTGATGGGATCACCTGTACATGGGTGTCCCCCTGCAGCAGTAACAGACGCATCCTTCTCTCTCTATTCTGCTTCAACGGCTTCCCATGGTCAGTACTCTGATTATGGAGAACACTAGGCCCTCTAGTGGCAGAAGCAGAACTGAACGTCGGGGTTGATGTGGATCTCTCCTCGGCCTCTTCGCTCAGTTTTGACTGGACCCCCTGTCTGTCTGTCTGTTCCCCAGCTGTCTGCATCTCTGCTAAATCTGCAGACAAGCTGACCTTGTCACCAATCAAGGTTCTGGGTGTGAACAACCAGTGGTTCGGGTGGAACAATTTTCAAACCCCGCAGCGGGTTCTTTCAATGTGAACCACTCTTTGGATCTGTGAATGGCCAACTAAAGTGCTGCTACACTCACCTCTACCTCTCAACCCTCTCCCCCCTCCCCAGTGGGTCAGGGTTCATGCAGCGTTAAGAGGAGTGTTAGGGTACCATGACACAGTGGTTAACTGGTGCAATCAGCATTTCATTGTCTCAATGTTGTTGTGTAGTCCTCCAGCACTCTTAAAGACAGTGGGATGTTCTCTGCATTGTGAGTGTGTGTGTGTTGTGAAATGTTTCATTCTCACTCATACGACCCAAATAGCTCCCTTGGTACTGTTGGAACTCGATGATTTTGTGTGGTGGTTGGTGTGTGTACATTGTTTCTTTCGTCATCATGAAGGTTTGTCTTCTTTTCCACATAAATCCATTGGATTCCTCCTTTTTACTGTTGAGGCTTACTGAGTGACAGCAACATGTTTGGGTCAGAGGTGTCTGTCTGGTGGCTGCTGTATGAGAGTATATTTCTCCGCTCCTCTCAAAGACATGAATGACGAGACTGTCCCGTCCTTGTACTTGATTATTTTTTCTTTTTTTCCCCTCTTTTTTCTTTTCTTTTTAATTTCTTTATTATTTATTTATTTGTTTTTTAATTTATTTTTTAGATATGACGAATGGATCAAAGCAGACAAGATCGTGCGGCCCGCCAATAAGAATGTACCAAAAATAAAGCACCGCAAAAAAATAAAGGTACGACTTTTTTGTGGGCCCCTCGCAGTGCGCTCTGACATCACAAAGCACATCTCTGACTCTTTTTCAACTCTGACAGAACAAAGTTGAGAGGGAGCGAGACAGACTGGACCGGCTAAATGAGAGAGAGGTCCTCGGCCCTTCGTCCAACGCTCACCGGGCCCCACGCTCCAAATGTGGCCTGAGCCAGGATGTCTTTTCCAAGATGGACGAGGGCGAGGACAAAGGGACTCAGCAGGCTCCCGTCAAGTCTATAGAAATTACTTCTATTCTCAATGGCTTGCAAGGTAGCGAACAGATTAGTTTTGTTTTACTCTCTTTATGTCAGATCATTTCCTGCTGAGATTAACAGAAGTTGTGATTTGCTCGCCACAGCCTCTGAGATGTCTACTGATGAAAGTGAGCATGAGGATGAGGAGGGAGAGCGCAATGGAGAAGACCAGCCGGGATGCTGCGGCCCCAGAAAAGGCCCAGCTGAGCCACTGCAAATACCAGAGCGCTGGGAGAGCGGAACTCCCTCCGAAGGGCCCAAAACCTCCTCTGTCCCTGGAAAGAGCCAAGCCGCCGCTGGCACGGAGAGCGCAGACGTCGGGAAGCGCAGAATCCATCCGGAGTCAGAGGGAGAGGTGAGCACCAGGAAGAGGAAATCTGATGGCGCTGCTGAGAGGACCCCCAAAGGTCAACCCAGAGCTAAGACCAGGAACACCAGGAGCGCCGACTGGTTACCCGGAGCCTCTCCCAGGAAGCTGGAGGAGAGAGCAGCTGGTCCCGGAGAGGAGAGGGAAGCCTCCTCCAGCAGCAGTTCAGAGGACGAGAGTGCTGCACCGGCAGAGTCCCAGACAGAGGAGACTGAGCGAAGCCGGCCAAAAACCAAAGCATCGCCTTCCAAGAAGTACAACGGGATGAAGGAGAAGACCAAAAGCAGCAGACAAGGGGGCTTCTGGGAGATTCCTGAGAAGAGGGCCAAAGTGTCTGGGAATGCTGAGGAAAGGGCTGCTGTTCGGCCAAAAGGACAAAAGGACGTGTGGTCCAGCATCCAGGCTCAGTGGCCAAAGAAGACTCTGAAAGAGTTGTTCTCCGACTCAGACACAGAGGCCGCCAACTCTCCGCCCCCACCAGTGCCCTCACGTCTGGAGGAGCCCGGGGGGGAGCAGGACGCTGGACCTGAGGACGAAACCTCAGAGGAGCAGATGGAAAACGACAAGCTCCAGGAGTTCCCAAGCAGCGGCAGTAACTCTGTGCTCAACACCCCTCCGACCACGCCGGAGTCCCCCCCAGGGGGAGGCAGCGCGGTGGAAGACTCGGGTCCAGCGCAGCCCTGCTCCCCGCCTCCTCCTCTGCCCCCTGCCTTACCTTCAGAGCCAGTGTCTGACTCTCTCCCCCCGGATCCCATTCAGGAAGAAGTGGCGGGGGGCCGCAGCGAGACGGACAGCAGCACAGTGGAGGTGGAGAGTCTGGGCGCGGAGCTGCAGGAGCTCCCGCAGGAGGACGGGGCAGGTTCCCCCTCAAAGGTGTACGACGCCGGCCTCTGCAACAGCAGCAGCAGCTGCAGCCCAGAGCTGAGCAGCGGCTGCCAGCAGGAGCACGAGCAGAAGTCCAAAGGTACCGCAATCTGACAGCTTCTTTTAAAAACCTTTCCCTTAATAAAGCGGTAACTCATTTCAGCCATTTCTTTGTAGCCTCTTTGAGTCAGAAACGGCAGAAAGAGTCGCAGACGCTCGGAGCCGCAAAAAAACACAAGCCAAGCAGAAAGAGCCTCGGTGTGCCTCCTAAAAAGAACAGGAAAACAGGTGAGAGCGGCTGACACTCATTTCAGCATCGGCAGGGCTCTCCTCAGCCATCCAAGTCCACTTTCACATTCACCAACCTACAAGATCACAGTTCAGATTCAGGATGGAATGATGTTTGTCTTGTGTCCCCCTCTCCCTCTCCTCCCTCCATCCAGCCAACAGCAGTGACAGTGAGGACCAGTCTGTTATGGAGGGCGCTGCCAAATCGTCTGTTTCAAAGAGCAGCGCACCGGACCTGAAGGCTGCCACTTCGCCCAAGTGTCACGGGCGATCCCCCCCCTCCAGCCATAAGTACCACAAGCACGGCGACTCGGATCACACCCCACACAGGGACAACCACGGCAGATCGCCTCGCGTGTACAAGTGGAGCTTCCAGATGTGTAAGTGTCCAACTCCAGTATCGTAACAGCTACCGAACAAAATAAATGGCTTCTTATTTCATTTCTCTGAGCCGTTTGTTTCTTTCAGCTCCAGCTTCTGATTTGGTTGTCTGAAGCTGAGTTTTACGCGTCCTAAAGTCTTGACGTGGATTTGTCTTGGTTCCCCTCAGCTGATCTGGAAAAGATGAACAGTCTGGAGAGGATTTCTTTTCTTCAAGAGAAGCTCCAGGACATCAGGAACCACTACCTCTCCCTCAAGTCTGAAGTGGCCTCTATTGACCGACGACGAAAGCGCATGAAGAAGAAGGAGAGAGAAAGTGAGTTGGCTCTTCGCTCTCGTTATTTCTGCCTGTTTTAAACGGAGAATCTGTGAAACATGACCATATTCTGTCACAAATGCCATTGGGAAAAAGTAAATGAGCGCACTATATTTTTGCCCCGCAGGCACAGTGGCTGCTTCTTCCTCGTCTTCTTCCTCCTCCCCGTCCTCTAGCTCGCTGACAGCTGCCGTCATGCTGACGCTTGCCGATCCTCCGGTATCATCCTCATCCTCCTCGTCTCAGAACTCTGGGGTATCAGTGGAGTGCAGGTGACAGGACCCAGCCGCAAGGAGCCACCGCACGAAGCACTTAACCAGCACCCCGGGGTCAGCGCCCCCACGCTCGTTCCTGCTCAGCGGGAAGGACGAGTCAACCTACATACTGTAACTACTGGGGCACAAAACCAGACCAGAGACAAAAACAAGAAACAAGCACTATTTTCTACAGACAACTGTTTCCTTGGCAAGCTAATGGCACTTAAGTGCACTTTTATGAAGTTTGTGTAGGGGGATGAAATTTGTCTAAAAAAAACAAACAACAAAACAAAAAAGAATCCAGATTTGTCTCTTGCGCTCTCCTTGATTCGACATTTCCAAGTTCTTGTTTTTTATCCATTTTTATTTGCAAGCAATAATTCTTTTCGTTTGGTGAGGTTTTACCGGTAGGGGATCATATCCCCTCTGTGATCCGCCCTCATAGCTCAGCGTGGCCTGGCTGGTGCTTGCCATGTTAATGCGAGAGGACGCTGCCACAGTGGCATCAAGGGCATACAAAAGCTCATTTTTACCACCTTTATATGTCCAACTCCATGTGGTCGAATGTGAAGCGGGTGGCGTTGCTCCTCTCCTGTACCTGTCTGCATGTAGGTGGCGATTAGGTCGGAGCCACCTTTGGCTCGGATTGCCTCAGCGGATGAACACGAAATGATACTGTAGTGCCTTTTTGTTCGTCTCCATGAGGCACTTTGAGAAAGGACAGCACTTTTCTTTTTTGATCCTCTTGTCAAATCAGAGAGTCGGCTAGAATAATGTGTCCCTTTTATTTGAGGGGGAAAAAGAAAAAAAGACTGAGGAATGCTGTGCGAGTGAGCAGGCAGTGAAGGGCTAAGTGGGAACCATAATGATGGATGTTTTCAGCATTCGGTAAGCAGAACCTCTGCACTGGATCACCTGTAACCTACTACTGACTACTCACCCAGCTCGGGTGTTTCTGTTGAGCTTGGCAGCAGAAGACGTGCAATGACGAACGTTGTAAAAGGTCACATTACTATCAGTTCATACGCCTCTTTAAAAGCCTGTTTGCTTTGTTTGAAAATGTTCTCTTCACCCCCTTTTAACCCCCCCACCCCCCTGACACTTCAATGATGCGCAACTGGATCAACTCAACTTTAACTATTTAAGTACTGCCGAAAACACACACACACAAAAAAAAGTTTGCAGAGATTTCAACTTGAAGTTTTTAAAATTAGGTCTATTTTTTGCCGCGTTAAACAAAGCAACACATACTCTTTTAGCACAGCTTTTCTGATTGTCCTCACGGTCAAAGACGATACAGGCCAGCTTCTTCTCATGCGCATACCCACCGCGACACTTTGGTTCCGTTTCCTATTCTAGGACCAGAATAACAGTAGAGATATTGTAAATGTGCATTTATATCATAAAGTGGCATATGTGTAAACATTTCTGAAGACATCTCCGCTGTTTCTTTGTATAGGCCCTCCACTGTATGATAACCTGAAGTTTGGTTTTGTTTGGCACTTGTATGTAATTGTATGCTTTTGTTATACATTTGTATATTGAGAAGTGATTTGAGTCAAGCTATTTAATATCTTGCACTGTTAATAACATGTACTTTTCTGTACAGACAGTTTTACGGTTTTAACTGTAGTTTGAGTGTAAATAACGAGGGTTACAGCATGTTCGTTCTGCGTCCTACTTCCCCTCTTTTCATTCGAGTTCTTTCACATTCTGTCCTCCAAATTTATTTGGTTCTATTTTTCCCCCTTTTTTCATTTTTGCTTTAGTTTTGTCTTTTATCTTTTTTTTTTTCTTTAGTCTTGGTGTGTTAGAGTGGAACGGTGGTGGGAATGTGGCGGAACTTCTTTCCAACCTGTACATGGCCCGAAGCTGTATGAACCTGTATAAGGAAAACAATCTGCGTCATAGATTAAGAGAAAGCAATGGAGCTTATTGGAGAAATGCTCAATAGTATTTATTATGCTCATCTGATGATGATGGTCGTTGTGTAATTTATTGTAAAAATGTAAGCAAAGCAGAAGCCTCTGTTTGAAATAAATGCCATAGTTTGTGAAGTACTTTGCGTGTCTCTTGACATCAGTGGTGTGGTATCATTCTTACTTGATTGCCACATTTTAATATTTGTTGTCACTTGGGCGATTCATAGGTAAAAAAATCTCCCACTAACTCGTTCTTTTTGCAGATTGCTGAACTGCTGTCTCTTTACTATGAAAGACTCTACCACTCTTAGTTACTGACTTATTTCCACATTTTTTGTATATTGTGATTTATTGAATTTAATGGGATTTGCGAATCATTGCAATCAGGGTTGTGTTACTTACATTTGAAGGTGTTTTAGGGCTGCATTAAGATGTGCTTGCACTAATACCTCACAGCGGGAAGGTTTCAGGTTCAAATCCTGGCTGTTGATGCGGTGCTTGCGAGTTCTCTGGAGTATTCCAGCCTCCTCGTAGCATCCAAAAGCATGCATGTTTGTTTAATTGGTTCTTTTAAATTGTCCTTGGATGTGAGTGTAGTGGTTATTTATTTATCTTTTGCCTAGCTCTGCAATAGAATGACTCCTACAAGATGTACTTAGTCCAATGAGAAGTGAGGGAGTATCCAGCCCCCCTGAATTATTTTATATTTTTAGTATAACAATTCAGAACGGTGCAAAAAGGAACCGAACACTCCGACGGACTAACTTGGCTGGACACCACGTCCTGCGTCATAAGCTACGTCACTTCCGTAGCTCCGTGCGGCTAATACCGGCCAGCCACTGTGCGCGTGCCGCTCTCATAGGCACTCAACAGGTCCCAGGTATGATGAGCACCAGGACGAATGCAATCATCGCCGGGATGTGTGGAGCCGTTTTTATCGCGTACTGTTTTTATTTTGACAGGAAGCGACGGAGTGATCCTAGCTTTAGGGAAAAGCTACGAGAATGTAAGTGTTTTATAGTTGGGGCACAGGAAGTTTGTTCAATGTTAGCATTGTTAGCTCCTAAGCTTTGAACCGCATGGACGCTTCCCCAAAACTGTTGTTTCTATAGACGTCTAAACATAATTTTCACCTATAGTGTACTAGTATATATAGTATCTTGATGTTTTCCTCCGCTTTGTTTCTTGTTATATAACCCACGGAAGAAATATTCGTCGACTTAAAGCTTATCTGACGTGGAGCCACGTGTTCGTTACACCATAAGACTAAACATAGTGCTGTCTAAAGCCGTTTTCCTTCGTTTTTGTCTTACAGGTCGGAGAAAAAAGTATTCTAGTGGGAAGTGTGGACTGGCACAGGTGGGCCACGTGGAAAGCCACCGATGTTGGCTGATTGTGTGTTTATGCCGAGCTTGAAACGTGTGTTGCTGACACTTTGATTTACTTTGCAGCTGCCTGAGTTGATGGACACTAAAGCTGTCCAAAAATACTTTCTGGAGGAAATCCAGCTTGGAGAGGAACTGCTGTTACATGGTCAGTGGCACGCAACATTCACACCCTACGTGTAAAGGCTCTTTGTAAGATCCACACAAGATTAATGGGCTAACAACTTAAATAGCAGTGCTTTTGGATCCACAATCCCACAAATGCGTCTCAACAGCCCGTTACATGGCTGTCCACGTTTTCAGCTTGCGTTTGAGATTATCAAATTGAACTTGCAGTTACCTCCATTACAGGGCAGACTTGTCGTTTTGGATGTCGGCTATTTAACTTTTTTCTGCTCTTTTCTTCATCCCTTTCACAGGTGAGGTTGACAAAGGTGTGGAGCATCTGACCAATGCCATAGCGGTATGCAGTCAGCCTCAGCAGCTGCTGCAGGTGCTGAGGCAGACGCTGCCTCCTCCCGTCTTCCAAATGCTGCTTAACAAACTGTCCACATTCAGCCAGGTGAGGACTCCGTGCACGTGGGCTCATAAACAGCCTTGTCAGGCCGTGGGAGCAGAGCATCCTTAATAAACCCCCCAGCTGCAGTTTGTTGCTTCTGGGACAAGAAAGGGTGCAATATCAATCTTAGAACCATCCAAAGCTGAGAGCCATGTGACTAGCTCTTGGTTATTTCACCTCTAAGACATTAACATGACAAAGAAGAACATTTTCCTCATGGGCTGTTTGATCATGTGAATAACAAAAAAACGTTTTGTTTTTCAGCGAATGGTCAAATCAAGATCTTTAACAGAAGACGACGTGGAATGAATCGGTTTTGAGTTTATGGCTGCTTTTATTATTCCTTAAAGGAATGTCAGACTTTAGCACTTTAGTATGATTATCTGCTCTTTTATGCATCGCAAGCTTCATTGTGATGGAGGACTCTGAGTTATATGTAACCTCAAAACCACCAGATATCATATTTTCTCGACACCTATTTATTAAATGTACTGTTTTTCCTTAAAACAGCAATAATGTTTTTCAGTAGCGTTGCTGAGCCGTTTTAAACTAGACGCACTTCTGATGTTTGTTGCATATTTTTTAACAGTTGTTACATGTGAGATATATTTCTTTAGTATCCTGTCAGTTATTTCTGTGTGAAATCCTGTAATAAAACCTGAGAATCACGTGGAGTTTCTGAGTGTGCATTTACCAGTAGATGGCAGCAGCAACGCACAGGATGATCTGAAGCTTCTGTCTGACCCAGAACCGGGATGCAGAATTAGCTGAATGGGAAGCATTATGTGCATTCATTTAAGGAAAGATGTACCCTTTCTTCTTTTTTTAAAAATCATAAAATGGTAGAATGATGTTCACCAAGATGAAAATGGGCATAAAGGGAAATAATGTGAGCCCACCTATGTTTGGATTTGTCCTACTATAATCCAGACATGAGTGAACGGAGGAAGAGGTGCAGTCATTAGTACAGTATTCCTGTTTCTGAGTAGCACCGTGAAACATGAGCTCATACGACTCCACTGACCCACAATGTCCATAGCATGAATGGCCTTATTGTGTTAGCAGGAGGGCAGAAGTGGAGCAGCTCGTAGTAGGGGAAGGGAGTCGGTCTAGTTGGAAGACAAATAGAGCCGTAATTATTTTTATCCCTGTCTGCAGCTGTTATTCCAAAGGCTCCGGCCAGAGCAGCCCGAGGCCTTGAAGTTGCCAGGAAACATGAAGGGGGGGGGGGAGAGGGGAGCGATTCTTCTGCATAAGGAATGAAAAA